CTGGTTCCACCCCCACGCCCTTCTTTCCTGCTCACTAGCTCTTCTCTCCAGTAAAACCCCTGAATCTTTAATAAATTATAAACATGCTTTCTTGTCCCTCTGCCGGCGCCAGATCTCAGTGCTGGCAGCCTTTTTCATTCCCCTCGTGTCCCTAATAGATCTTGCTGTTTGATTAATCTTTTAGATCCCTCTCACAGAAAGCCCACTGTCTGAGCTGACTCTCCTCATGGCATCGAGTGTTAAGGATTTTTCTCAGCCCCTTGGCCTTGTTGCTGCCAGTGGCCAGTGCTGTCCCTAAGCGGGGCTGTGGCCCCCCGGACCTTGGAGGGCAGGTGGCTTGTGCACAGGGTTCGAGCAGAGGGGCCCTGTTCAGCACCAGCCCCTCAGGCTCCTGCACTTTAACCAGGGTGAGTTCACAGCGAAACACTAGGGACAAATAGCAGTGAGAAGTCACGGACCTGGGTTCAGCTCATCTGAGTCACTCACCAGGTGTGTGACCTTGAGCGAGATTCTGAGCCTCAGTTGTCCTCATCTGTGGAGTGGAGTATGTCAGAGGCTGTTGTGAGAGTCAGATGAGACAAAGGATGAGTTTGGGCGCTGCCTCTGTGAGCAGGGGCAGAAGGAAGAGACCGTGAAGTCTCATGAGCCAGGACGCCTGTGCCGTCGAGCTGTGAGGCACCGCCCTGCAGCCTGCCCCCCCTGAGCCTGTGCATGCAGGAGGCGCTGGGATTCCTGCTCAGCCTCGAGAAAGAGCCCCCTGTCCTTTATCCTTTGGGCATGGGATGCTGGAGGGGGCGGAGGCCCAGGAGCACAACTGCCCAGGCTCCACTCAATTCCTGTTGTGCTGCTCAGTTCTGCTCAGTTTAGGAGGTTGGACTGGATCATCTACAAGGCCTCCTCCTTTTCTGAACTATGAGTTTGTGGGTCTAGTCCATAAGCACTGAACTTCGCATGGAGGCTGGCGCAGCCATTGGATGGTCGTGATTATAGTAATTCCACCTACCATTTACTCAGCACCTAATAAACACCCGGTCCTTTGCCTGCAGTATCTGCAGTCTTCACAAAAAGCCTGGAAGGGATGTATTTGTCTGCACTTTACAGGTGACAACATTGAGGCTCAGAGAAGATAAATTACATGCCTAAGGGCACACCGCCAGTTTTCAGCAGATCCAGGATTGAAATCGATGTTGCAACCCAGGTTCCTTTCCCTAACACCAGTGCTTATGTTCTTTGCTCTCTCCTCCTCCTCTTGCCTCTCAGTGCCCCTCACCCACTGTTGTTCAGGGCAGAACCACTCGCCAAAGATGCCTTTCCAGCCCATGCAAGATCTGGCTCAACCCAACGGGAGGAGGAGTCTAAAGATTTGAACTTGATGTTAAAAATAATGATAATTACTATTTGTCAAGCACCTATTATTACTTAACACAGTAATAATCTAGGGGCAAAATTCTACAGTTAAAATTACAGTGTCTTCACTGAGGCTTGGAAAAGTAAATTCGGATGTCCATCCACGCAATTGAGCATCAGCTGCTGAATGGTCTTAGCGACGTCCCGTTCAAATCCACCGTGCTTGTTGCATGTCGGCTACAATCAAAGCTCCTGATGACTGATGCGTGAGAACCTCTAGCGGGAGAGCCTGGGGCCCAACCCCGGTCTTACAGATGAGCAGACAGCAGTTTAGAGAGGCAGAGGTTTGCCGACGGTCCCACAGCTGGTCAGTGGTGTCCAGATCCCAGGCCAATATTCTATGAACCGCCTCACTCAGCACTCAGCCGGCAGGTCCAGAACTGTGCTGTAAGTGAGACGCTGTACCCCATTTCTGTCTGTCCGTTTCTACCTCACTCTGGGAGATCCAGCACCTCCTCCTCCATGAAGCCTTCTTCACTACCCCAGGCAGAGTTACTCCTGCCTCTCCGCTCTCCCAACACGTGTGTGTGCATGCTGCTGTGTCATTGTGCGTTGATGCACCTGCCTCCCCAGCTGGACACCTCCAAGGCAGGAAAAGTGGCCTCTGTCCCCAAAAGCTCTCTATGCAGATAACTCCCAGTATCACCTTTCAGCACCAACTTGCCCCTGAATAATTTATATCACAAAAGCTGGGGTTTGGGGTCTCATTGCCTCCCAGGATGTGGAAGGGGAAGCCATCTCCAGAGTGGTGCCCAGAGCCTGGCCCTTGGCACAGCCCTGGCAGTGGTGGCCTTTTGAATTTCTCTACCCGGTCTGTTTTTTCTCCCTGTCTGTGATGGACACAAGGAGGATCTGCTAAGCTCTCGGCTTTATTACCTTCCTGTGGAAGACATGATTATCCTCCTGCTCCCTGACATCCACCTCATTCCTTTTGGTGCTGACCATGCTCACTGCCACCTCCTCCTCTGCCGGGTCTCTCCAAACCCCTCCATGCCCTCACAGACCCTGCATCACACCAACCAAGGGTTCTCCCAAGTCCACCTCGACCAGCCACCTGCCCACCTCCCTCCCCACTGCTCCCAACCTAGACTCGGGTCTGTGCCCAAAGATTGGCAAATCAAAGCCTTTTCAAGGCATTTTCCTTCTCTTTTTATAATGGTTATCTAATGCCCAGCAAATCATCCCCAAAACTTAGTGGCTTAAAACAACAGGACCGTTGATTATCTTCATAGTCTGTGTGGGTCAGGAATTCCGAGCATCTCAGCTGGGCGGTTCTGGGATGGAGCCGCTGGAGCTGCCGTCATCTGAAGGCTTGACTGGAGCCGGCAGACTCACTACAGGGTGGCTCATTCATGCAGTGGACAAGGTGGGGCCAGCTGTGGGCAGGAGGCCCCAGCTCCTCTGCACCCGGGCATCTCTTCACAGGGCTGCTTGTGTCCTCATGGCGTGGCAGCTGGCTTCCCTCCAAGTGGCCAAGGCAGAGCCTCCAGTCCTTTCATGATTTAGCCTTGGAAGTCACATGCCATCACTTCCATCATATTCTGTTGGTCATATGAGTTAGCCTTGACTCAGCGGAGGACAGAATTGCACAAGGCATGAGGTCCAATAAGTGAGAATCTCTGGAAGCCATCTGCGAGGCTGCCCACCACGCCTTCTAAAACCATAAAGGCTAAATCTTCAGCTGACCTAGGAATGCATTTCCTGACTTTCTTTCTCCCTTTCTCCATCAATGGGCATCTAGTATACTTAACTCTTGTTCCAGGAACATGGAAATAGGCAAGAGGCCTTCCCTAGAGGAACTCATAGTCAAGTGGGGGAGACAGTCCTACCTCGAGAAGTGCTAGAAGAGAGATATGTACAGAATTATGGGAGCACAAAGGAGAGGTCATTACCTATCTGGGGGATTATGGAATGCCTTTATAACAGAGGGGACATTTGTTCTGGGTCTTGAAGGATGAGTAGGAGCTCATCAGGTGGAGAAAGGAGGAAGGACATTGCTCCATGCAGAAGTAATAGTATGAACAGTGGCAGAGAGTTATGGCAACACTTGAGGCTGCAGTTGTGAAAGGTCTTGAAGGCTGTGATAGGGAGTTTGGACTTTCTACATCAGGAGCCACTGTGGGCTTCAAGCCAGAGGGAGGCCTGGGGAGAGCTGTGTGGTGGACAAGACATGACTGACAGGGGCAGAGGGTGGAGGCAGGAAGACTGGTCAGGAGGCTGCCACAGTGATCCCCAAGAGGAGTAAAGACTCTCTGAGCCAGGCCCAAGGGGAGGAGACAGGAGGGGGGGATTCGGGAGGGTTTTATTAGGAGGTGGAGCTGACACGATGTGGTGAGAAGCTGTCTCCGTTGGGGGAGCACAGGAAGGCCTGAAGGTCGTGACTTACCTGCCTCTGTCTTCTCCTGGGACCTTCTTGTCCTAATTCTTGGCTTCTCAGTGACCCAAGCCCAGCCTGTGCTCACATCCTGAGCACAACAGCCCAGCTTTCTCTGCACAAGTTCTCTTATTCAGTGCTTGCTCTTGTAGGAAAAAGTGTTCAGAATTATCAGGGAGGCCAGAGGGATGTCACAGCCCATTGGCCTAGGATTGAGGTTCTTAAGTGTTTTAGGCCACAGACTTCTTTGAAAATCTGGTGAAAACTATGAACCATCTTCCCCCCCAAAAAAATGCATATTTGCCTACACAACTTTGCAAACAATTTCAGAGGGCTCACAGTCCTTTTGAAGTCCATCCTTGGGTCTGCGGACCCCAAATTAAAAGCCCCAAGCCTAAGAAGAAATTGGAAAATGAAGAGAAGAAATGTTGGACTCACCAAACATCTGTTATTTACTTCCTCGTTTAATACCCGTCCCCGTGACTGGACAACCCTGGAAGAGCGGGAACAGGAGGAAGCGTTTACCCAGCGATAGCCCCTGGTGGCAGAGCCTCACTTGGCAGGTTTATTCTCATTATTATAGTAATTTTCAGGCTGCAGGCTACAATTTTCACTTGCAGCGAGGTATTAAATTGAAATTACCCCAGATGTAATTGTCATACGAAATGATCCTGGACACATGGAAATGAATGCTTTTTCAAAAGGGGGTTTAATGCTCGTGCCGGGGTTTTCGAGCTCTGTCTCTTTAAACATGCCAGATTTCGGAGTGTGGGGTAGGAGGTCGGGGCCAGCGTGGTGTGGTGGGCTGGAGCTGCTGGCCCAGAACAGGGTGAGACCTCTGCCAGCTGGGTGGACACAGACTGGGGAGCAGAGCCCAGGTCTCGGGGTGGGTTTGCACGGCTACTGGGAACCGCTGTGCACCAACTCAGGCAGGCGAGGAATCCCACATTTATGTTCTGTATATCAGCTGAATTTGGCTCCAAGCCCAAGTTCTCCGGAGGTGACGAGAAATTCAGCTTCAGTCATTCTCGGACCTTCCCTGCCTCCCTCAGGGCTTGGTGAGGCCCTGGGGTCTTACTCTGTGCTGTGCAGCTGGGGCGGCCCCACCAGACGCCAGGCATCCGTCCATACTGGTGACACCACGATGCCCTGGGTTCCAGCCCTTCAGGTCTGCTTTGCCCCCGGAGGTCTCACTTGTCACCTGCCCTTCCTTCCCCAGATGCACCCTGCTGGTGTACTGCACAGACCTCCCTCCCACCAGCATCATCATCACCTTCCACAATGAGGCCCGCTCCACCCTGCTCAGAACCATCCGCAGGTAAGACAGCCTTCCTGTCTGTCCCATCCGGCCCAGCATTTGGTGAGGGGGGTGGTGCTTGCTGGGGGACTGGCCCTGTGATAAGAATATCAGGCATTTCTAACTACCTGCCAGGCACTGTTCGACACACTACACTCACCCACTCCTCACACTCCTATAAGGGCAACTATTATCCCATTTCCTCGGGGGAAAGACAGAGGCCCAAGGTATTAGGTAACTTACGGAAGGTCACTGAGTCATAGAGGACTTGGTCCCAGAGCCATTGCCCTAACTACTGTGCTTGACTGCCTCTAGAAGAGAAGTTCTGATTTCCACAGCTCACAAGGGAGCTGAGGCCCTGAGAGGCTGAGTACATACCCCGCCCCCAGCATCAGGCTGGGATTAGCTATCCCAGCACCTCCCCCTCCACAGCCTCCCACAGACCCACCAGGGGCCTTAGTGCATATCAGAGCAGCCCAGATGGCTAATGTTTTCTTTCTCGGCCATCACCTTGTGTTCCAACCCCGTTCCCCCTTGGGCCTCTCCATCCATCCTCAGCTCCCAGTCTAGGCTGCTCTCGCTGTAATAGGTACGTCCTTGCTACCTATGACCTGTGGCCTGCATGGATTTTAAACATGCTAAAGTCCCAGCGCCAGCCCCCAGCAGAACTCCCCTCAGAACACAGACAGGCCCCAGAGACGGCCGGAAATTCCTCACCCCAGTTCTCAGAAGACCTTGGTTATTTTAGTTCCCCTTCCCTATGCCCAGCTCCTTTCTCTCCTCTGGAGCCCTTCTCCTGGTGCCCACCCTCGCCCCACCACCCTCTGGCCCACCCTTCCTCACTCAGGTCTCCGGCAGCATTGGCATCTTGGATGGTGGTGACGGCAGCCACCAGTCGCTAAGTCCTCTCATGTGCAGACAAGCCTTGGCTCATGCTCTCAGCTGAGAAGCCACTGCTATGCCCACTTTACAACAGAAGAATCTAGACTCAGAGGTACTAAAGTAAGGCCTACTGTCGCTCAGCTAACAGTGGTGAGCAGGGTTCCAACCCTTGCACTCTGAGCTCAGAGTTCTTCTCAGCAGCATGAATAGGGCAAAGCTAGTCCCGGTGGTGGCATTCAGCATCCCTGGAGGAGGGGTTGGACCAGGGATGCGCCCAGCCACACCTCCAGCAGAGCGAGGGGCTGGCCCTGGAGTAAAGTGCCCAAGGTACCTCTGTGGCCCTGGGACACATGGCCCATTAGAGCCCGTCCCCTATCTGCTGGCCCATCCTGATCAGATGGTCGCCTGATCCCGCAGAGAAGGAGGTAAGATTAAATGTAGGCCAAAGAGAGTACAACCAAGCACACAAGATCCCTTGTCACTTTCATCAATAAGCACACCTTCCCTCTCTCCTTCTCACACCAGCATGGCTATGGGCAGGCGGGGAAGTTCCAGATGATGGGAGGGAGTCAGCAATAGGCTGGCCCTGACAGCGGGCACCAAGTCTTTGGTACCACCTGTCACTCATGATGAATGTCCACTGTGCAAGGTCAGTGCATCCTTTAGAAACAATGCAGGGGACGTCCCAAACACGCAGCCTTCAGCCTGGCGTTTCACCTATCCATGGGGCAGCTTTGTCTGCTGCCCAGACGTCCTTGGTGACTGGCTGGCTGGTTTCTTCTGCCAGCTGCTTGCCCTGTCTGTCCTGGTTTCTGCATTCACCCCAAAAGCCACCTGATTCGAACTTGATTTCCCAAAAAGCCTTCAGCTCTTGACAAGAAAACGTCCTGAGTCACTGCCAGGTGTCACTGTGAGTCTCATGGTAGACTAATAAAGTGCCATTCTGATTTGTACACCTGTGCGGGTATGTGTGGGAGAACAGGGATAAGGTCTGGTCCGATTTACCTGGGTCTCTTCTGGTGAAGGGAGAACGGAGTGTCGGGGCCTTGCAGGCAGAGCAGGCACATGTGGACCAGAGGTGGCTGATTCCGAAGTGCCTGTCCACAGCCCCACCATACAAGGTCGTATCTGGGCATATCTGCCAGATGTTTCCATGAGGACACTATAGCATCTGAGACAGTCTCCTTGCCTTTTGGGCTAGCCTCTCCTCCTCCTTCAAGGAGTCTTCTGATGTCATGCACCTCCATCCCCCTCAACACACACTCACACCCCATTAGGGCTCCTCCTGTGTACATCTTTACTCTAGCACTTAATGCATTTTCCCAGATGTAATCCTCAATGAACTCCTTTAGGGCAAGAACTCTACCTTACTCATCTCTCACCTAACCTCCCTATGGCTCAGGTTCCTAATCAAGGAAATGGGGATAATAATCGTACCTACCGCATAGTTGCTTTGGTTAACTCAGGTAGAGGGCTGAGAACTGTGCCGGCATAGAGTAAGCGCTGGATCAATGTTAGCCATCCCTATATCTGCACAGCTAGTGAGCTCTCAAAGGGAAAGAGGCGATGGGCTACTTAAAAGGGCACCACACTTGGGGTCTGAAGACATGGGATCAAGTCCCGACCCTGCCACTTCCTAACTTTGTGACCTTGGGCGGGTCATTAACCACATCTGTAAAGATGGTGATAAAAATATCTTTCATGTTTCAAGTTCTGTCACATTTCCCACAATAAGACATTACCCTGAGACATTTGGGGGCATTATAATATCACATGGGGACCCCAGACCACCCATGCTTCCCTGTCGCTGTGTTATGTTCTCGGGGGCACTCCAGGTGCTGCCCTCAGCCTCATCCCTTTCAGCTCTAAGATGTATTTTTCCTTCTCTTCCTGCTGTTCCTCCAGCTCTTTATGATAGCGATCATGATACTTTACAATAATGATGTTAATATGTTAAACGTATGCTGAGCTTTACGCTCTACAGAGCACATTCCATCTCTCCCTGCAGTTGGAGCCCCATCTGTGAAGCTGGGATGCTCGTGGTAAATGGAGGCCCAGAGCCACCGGGCCGGGAAGCACGGGAGCCAGGACTGGGGTTTCTGACTTCCTGGGTGGGAGTGGGGAGCAGCTAGGCATGCAGCCCCAGCGCCTCTGTCCACTGGCCTAATGGAGGGCTGCCCCTGAGGCCCTGGCACCCTGCATGCTGAGAGGGGGCTTAGGGCCCTCAACACTATACTTTTCAGAAGACACCCATGAAGTGCCAGACTACACACCAAACTCCGCTGGGTGCTTTGCCAAGAAAGCCTCTGGAGCTGTTTCCTGCCTCTCAGGAACTTCTGATGTAAGCCAGGCCGCTGGCTCAGACCCAAGTGTGATGCAGGAAAACAGCAGAGTGGGGACCCATCCTGTTCATGTGTGAACAGACAAGCATTTACATCAACAGGCTGGGTAGAAGAGAATTTTAAGGGTGGAGGCAAGGAAGATTACCTCCAGAAACTTCCATGGCCAGGTATCATATTTGTCTTGGGATTCTGTACCTCCCTTCCACTCCCTACACTGTGGCACAAATAGATAGCCACTGAGAGGGGACTGAATGAAGAGCACTTCCTATCTCGCTTTTGTCACCGATGGAAGGATCTTTTCTAAGGTAGCTTTCATCTTTAATGTTCTGGAATTCTGATGGCTTTGCCGCCAGGCTCTCGGAACTGAGGAGGACTGATCCTCTCTGCCCTCCCACCCAGCGCTTGGCCAGGCCTTTGCCCCTCTGCCCAGCCCTGCCCCTGAGGACCTGAGTTAGCTGGGGGCTGAGGGTGGAAGGCACATGGAGGCCACTCAGAGCCCGGCAGAGGCATGATGGTGGATGATGGAGGCAGGAGAACGAATCACAGCCTTGATGAGTTAGGGGACTTTTCTCACCTACGGAGAGAGAAAACAAGCCCTCAAGAGTGGTTTACCTTGATTGGTGTTGCAGTGGGTCCCTGTGTATACGTGAGACCAGGGCTGTCCCCTTCCTCTTAGGGCATCCTGCAGCCCTATGCCTTCCATGGGGGCTCTGGAGCATACACGATTGATCGCTTTATATCCTGAGACTCCTTGCTGTCACTTTTTTGTAAAGTCCTATATTTAGAGGAGCAATTTCTCAGGTTAAGGTGGTTAAGAAATTGGACTCCACGACCAGATTTGCATGCTCTGCCCTTATCAGCTGTGTGCCCCTGAGCAAGCTCCTTCACTTCTCTGCCTCAGTTTCCTTTTCTGCAAAACAAGGACTATAGGTAATAACTTCCTCGCATGATTGTGGAGAAGAGTGAATGACATTAGGTAGGTAAAGGCCTTGAAACAGTGCCTGACCCAGAGTGAGCCTGTGCAGGTGACAACAGGTGTCATGATGCACCTCCAGCCGGGTAGGCAGCAGTGTCCTAATGTAGTCTCAAACTTGAGCAGACAGCAGAATTTCCTAGAGGGCTTGTTAAAACACAGTTTCTTGGGCCCCATCCCCAGACAGTCTGACTCAGTAAGTCTGGGGCCCAAGAATTTGCATTTCTAACAAGTCCTCAGGTGACTTTGAGGCTGCTGGCTCCGGGATCACAATATCATTATTATCAATACCCAGATTCAGAGAGCAGCCACTGAGGCAGGAGCGCTGCTAAGCTCCTCTCATGCAGCTCAGGAAGTGGTGGTGCTGAAGGCTCAGTACTTAACTGAGTCTCCCCAGCTAGTGAATGAGGATACACAGAGAGATCCAGTACTGGAACCCAAGTCAGTCTGACTCCAGAACGAGTCAGCTCATCAAACGGCCTCAGGTCTTCATTCAACTGGTATTTATGGAGTGTTTGATAAACCCTGTCTGCGTGCAGCACTGCGGAGTTCACAAAGCAATTTCAAATACATTTCCTCATTTCATACGCACAAAAGCCTGTGAAGTAGGTCAAGTATTAATATCGCCTGCCTTTACAAGGAAAATGTAATTACAGATGGAAACGAAGGCTGGGAGCAGCCCGGCGCCTGGCTCGGGATCGCACGACTAGTGGATGGTGGAGGCCGCCTGGCCTCCCACACTGCCCACGCTGCCATGCCCACCACCTCCCGGGATGCTCCGCGTGGGCCCCCCAGTTAGGGCGCAGCAGGCAGAAAGCAGAAGGTGTAGACGCTGCCTGCCCAGCCACCCTCTGGCAGAGAGGTGAGCTGTGTGTAGGAGACTCGGTTCTGGAATAATTCCCAGGCAGAGTGTGACCCCGATATGCCAGTGAGATGGCTGAGGCAGTGTGAGGAAGGGGCAGAGGACAGCCGCAGTCCAGGTGAAGCAGAGAACAAGCACATGCTGAGCTGGACCCTGGGGGAAGCGGAGGGTTGGCTTTGCCGTGGAGGGGCTGGTGAGGTGTCCTGGCAGAAGAGCTGGTGAGGGCAAACTAGGGAGACCCAAGCAATCAGGTTCTGGGGGGTCGGAATGGTGGGGCGGGCAGCAGGCAAGGCCTAGGGGACCATCTGGGCTAGGCCAGGCCCTCTGGACTGGATTTCACCTTGCTCCTTCTCCCACCACCCCGGGAGCCCAGAGCACCTGCCCATCTCAGACACCCCCCGCCCCAGCTCCTAACCACTTTTACAGAGCCCCCGCCATCACTCCAATTGCTCTGATTAGAGGAGCAAAAACAAGCCAGGTGTTACCAGGAAATGGTCTAATTAGCACTTACTGCTGACAATTTCCTTTTTTTTCTTTTTTAAACCCTGGACATTTTTTATTCGCTAATCATCTCTCAGTTCAACCAGCGCAGAGCTGCACACGATTTACCTTTTGATGTTCGCAGACGAGAACTCGTGAATTTCAAAGAGCCGGCCGGGATTTGGGGGAATTGCATGCAGAAGCGGCAGCCCTCATCAAACCTCATTAGAGGGTATTCTTCAAGCGGGTTTTCCCTCTCCCCCTGCCTCTCTCTGCCCTCCCTCTCTGATTAGAGGGTTGGTTGTTGGGTTTGCCTGTTTTCTTTGGGACATCATGGTGAGGGTCTCCTCCCACCACCTCCTGCCCCTCCCTGCCCCCACCTCCCAACAGCAGCTCAGGGTTCCAGGTGGAGGTCCCTCCCTCCACGTTACACTAGTTGCCATGGTGAGAATTAAGGCTTCATAAATAAAGGTAGCTCCAGGCAGAATTCTCCTCCTGGAGAGTCTCTGCATCTTGCTGGGAAAGGCTGCTCACCAGAAACAGGGCTCAGAATGGTCCGTCTGAGCAGGGGACACACACAGCGCCTCCGCCAGCACCCATCTGAACCCCTCGTCAACACTCGCGGGGCTGTCAGTGTCCCGTAGTGATTGGTGTGGCCCAGGATTGTTTCTGAGAAACCATGTGGTTTGGGGCCTTCAGGAGAAGCAGGATCCAGCCATCACAGTCAGGCCTGATACCCAGAGTGAACACAGAAACCCAGCCTTGCCCCACAGGTACAGATCCACAGAACAAAAGGGTAAATGATGTCAACTCAAAAATCATTACTGACGCACAAAATAGTAATAATTGCTACTTCATTCCAAACATAGTGCTAAATGCTTTGGATACACTTTCTCCTTTAATTCTCCCAACAGCCCTGTGAAATGGGTACTACTATTATTATCCCCATTTTACAGATGGGAATACTTTACTGCACAGAACAGTGAAGTAACTTGCCCAAGATTGCACAGCTTGTAGTAAGGAGCTCCTACACTGCACGCTTCTGGATGGCAGAGCTCACATCTCCTTTGTTCCTCATCACATACCCAGTGTAGCACATGGTGGGTGTGCACTAAATATCCCTGGAGGGAATGGTGATGGGTCAAGGTGCTGTGCTGGACTCTGGCAATACAGAGAGGAACTTGCCAAGGCCCCCGCCCTGGAGATGTGACCATCGAGAGGGCCAGCAAAACCACCCTCAGGGTCAGGCAATGATGAAAGCCGCAGGAAGCTTGATACAAACTTGAGGGATCCCAGAGGAGGAAGCAAGTAATTCTCACTAAGTAGATTGGACGGCTGTTAGAGAGGAAGTGACATTTGAACTGGTCCTTGTAGCGAAGGAGGGCGTTTCAAGCCGTGGCAGCAGCAGTAGAATGGGCTCTCATTGTGAATGAGCAGGATGTCTCCAGATAATGCACTGGGCATGAGGAGGCCGGACATGGGGGCTGGCTCCCGGTGGTGAAGGCCTTGAAGGGCAGGCTCAGGGTTTGGGATGTAGACAGGAGGAGCCACTGCTGGGATTTGGTCAATGTATTTAGTTGCATTAGTGAGGAAAGTCACACATTCAGAGATCAGATCTGTTCTTCAGATAGCTCACTCTGGAGGCCACAGGAGGATGGTGCAGGTCGAGGCTCCTGCAACAAACTGAACAAAAGAGATTGAACCAGGACAGAGATGTGAGAGGTGAAAGAGACTAGAGTGACATTTCCAGGTAGAACCAGCAAGTCTTGGTCACTGATTGGCTGTGGAACCTCAGGGAGGGGAAGGTCGTTGAGGATGACCCCTGGATTTCTGTCTCGAAGCTAGGTGGGTGGTGGAGGCCTTCACTAGGAGGAGGCAGCATTCTATCTGAGTGGATCATGGGTGAGCAACGTGACTTTGGTTGCTCTGCATTTTCATTCCTCAGAGGCAATGGTATCTATTTATAACTCGGGTTAATACATGTATTTTGCCTCTAGAAGCATAATGATCTTTCCTCTTTCCATCTCACAGTGTCTTAAACCGCACCCCTATGAATCTGATCCAGGAAATCATATTAGTGGATGACTTCAGCAATGACCGTAAGTAGCATCGCTCCCTCGCTCTGTTCCCAGCCCCTGTGTAACAGGAAGAGGCGAGCCCCCTGGTTCTCTGGGGATGGAGGACAGCCTGCATTTGTCATAGGTGTGGAAGACTTTGAATGTCCATGCTGGGCTCAAGAAGGAGATAAACCTTACCTTTAAAAAACAATTTCTTGGGTTCTCTGCTGTGAGTCTTTGTGGACCTAAGCAGGTAGATTTAGTAGATCCTTGATTGGGTCGGTGTGTGTGCATGTATGCAGGCATGGGTGTGCACATACATGTGTGTCACTGCCCCCAACCTACATTCCTGGACCTGGGAAGGGAACTGAACCTTCAAAGGATTGACACTGGGACCCGGAGGCCAGAAGCAGTGCCCGTCACTAGAGGTTCCTGACTCGTCTGCTGCGATGATCTGCTAGCCTGAGCTGAGGCTAACATACCCTCTCCCTTTCATTACCCTGGGAAGTAAGTGGGCTCTGTCTTTGGGACCCCTTGTGGGACATCCCGTCACCTGGCCGTGACACAGTGAGCAGCTGCCTTCTAACCTTCCAACCCACTGGTCATCACCATTTCCTAGTCGTCCTATCAAAGAACCTGGCTCCCACCCAAATTCACCCTCCAAATCCACTTTCCCCAAGAAAAGCATGCAGGTGTTTTCAGACGTCTGCGTGTTCAGTTTTGACAGGTATGATAATCATAGAAGCACTGTTAGACTCACCTCCTCTGAGACCCATCATCCCAGCAGCCTGGGTGCAGTTCCAGGCAGTCAACCCACATCCAGGCAGAACCACCTCTTCCTGGTGACAACCAGGGGAAGCAGGCAATGGCCACTGGGGACAGCTCCAAGTCCCGGGAGAGTAGAGTCTGTCCCCGCCAGTGCTGATGCTGGAAGCTGGGCGTAGAAGCCACTACCATGCTGGGGTCTGCTGTAGGAAGGCTGGAAATCCTCACCCATGACATAGCCTTGGAACCTTGGGAGTAATGCCTTAGTGGGTTGAGCACCAGGTCCTAAGTAATAGGATCAGATTGAGTTCTGAAACTCGGTGATCTGATCTCCCTTCCCTAGTGAGGAAGGGGTTAGAGGTGGGGAGATACTTATCCTGCCAGGAGGTAGCGTGGCACTGAGACTGGGGGAGGGAATGCTGCTGGATTCACTTAGAAGCAGAATAACCCAGTGGTTAGAGCACGGACTCAGGAACCAAACCGCCTGGCTTCAAATCCTAGACCTGTCACTTACTTACTAGCTATGTGCCTAGGGCAAATTATTAACCTTGATGTGCCTCAGTTTCCTTGACTAGAAAATGGAGATAATTATTTATATGGTTTATATAAGGATTTAAATGTGTGAACATGAAGTGCTTGAAACTGTGCCTGGCTCCGAGGAAGCCTCTCTGAGTCTGTGCAGTCACTCTGTAGAGTCCGGAGCCCAGCAAAGAGGCTAAGGTTGGTAAACCAATGGGGCAAAACCACCATGGTGGGGTCACGATATGCAGTTCAGAGCCAAGAACTGGTGAGGCAAAGAAGTGATGAGGTGGACAGGCAAGCTAGAGGAGAACCCAGGGCAAATGCCTAAGACAGGGTCTCCTGCCCGTCCTGGCACATTTCCCTGCATGGTGGAGAGTTGAACCAGCTGTGTGTGATGGAAGACGCACTGGACTGATCCCTTAAGAAATAGGGTCTCCTGTGTTATGAGTCCACAATCTGAAAGGAAACTCCAAAATTCATCTCAGCGGTTCTCTGGCCTCCCCGCAGCTTTTTACCAGACCCCACCAAAGTGAGCAGGACTCTTATCTCATGCTTTGAAAGATCTGTAGAAAGGAGAGATGTCCCCGGTGACCATGCCAAGATTTCCCATCTGGAAGTGTTCCAGCAAGGATGCAGGTTCCACTGTGTGACTCACCTGCTCCAAAGAGGCCCCCTTGAGGCCACTTTGTACAGATTGTGTATTGTATATTGATGGCAGTGGTTAGCCAGCCTCTTCCAAAGCCCATAAACACCCTGGAGTCTGGACAGGGCTCTGCCGTTGGGGGTGGGGACGGGAGGCAGGGCTGCCTTACCTACTCTTCAGGTTCATCCCCACCCCCCTGGTGCTCACTCCCTGTAACCTTTTGTCTTTGCAGCTGACGACTGCAATCAGCTCCTCAAGTTGCCCAAGGTGAAGTGCTTACGCAATAATGAACGGCAAGGTGGGTCTGTGCAGCTGGGTGGGACCTGGGGGTGTGAGTGTGGGATTGGTGGGGTGTGTGTATGTTTGCGTGTGTGGGGGGAATGCTGAGTGGCTCCTACGTGGGCTTAGTGGATGATGGAGTGACGGGCACCCACTGGGCCATTTGTCCCCACTGCAGGTCTGGTCCGGTCCCGGATCCGGGGCGCGGATGTTGCCAAGGGCACCACTCTGACTTTCCTTGACAGCCACTGTGAGGTGAACAGGGACTGGCTCCAGCCCCTGCTGCACAGGGTCAAAGAGGTAAGTGAGGCCGACTGGACCAGGGCTGGCTTCCTTGACCCCCAGTTTCTCTAGCACTCCCATGCTCATTACCTCACTTATGCCCCCCAAGTCCCTCTGGGAGGTGGGCAGGACAGATTGCTGTCCCCATTTTATAGATGAAGAGACTGAGGTAGAGCAGCCTGCCCAGGGCACCCAGCAGGCAGTGGTGGAGCGAAGCCCAGACCTGTTGGTTGTACCACGCTGTCACCCACAGCAGGCCTCCAGGGGTGCTGCTGGCAGCTAGGACATGACACATGCAGCTTCCTGGCAAGAGAACTGCCCAGAACTATTTCTTCCAGACATTAGAAGGTTCCAGAAAGGGAGCCCTGATGAGTGTCTTCATGAAAAGGAGGGAGTGGAATTAACCATGCCTCGTCACCCAATTCCTGTGGCCTCTGTCTTACCTCCACCCACAGGTCACCCTCACCCAAAGGCCAAGGAAGGCAGGCTGGATGCTAAGAGACCTGAATTCCTTACCTCTGTCTGCCCTTAAATTACTCTAGAATTCTACCTGCTTCTTCTCTCCATGTCTCAGTTACACCTCTTGAAAGTGAAAAAAATTTAAAATTTTTCTTATCATTATTTTGTGCTCCCAGAAGTCCATCCACCCTCTCCTAACCTACAGGAGGCGCTGTGTACTGTAGATGCAGTGTCGGTGATGAGCGTTCATGCAGTTCATCTTCTCCCTGAGTTACTGACTCTTAGAGCTGCTAGTGAAGTACGAGGTAGGGTACTTTTCACATACGCATTTCACAGATGAGGACACCATCTTGAGGAGATTATGTTACTTGGGCTGATATTCCCTAGCTGGTACCACCAGCACCAGAACCTCGACGTTGCCTCAACAGCATCTTCCCTGTGCTATGGTTATTTCCTTCCCCTTCTCTTTGAGGTAGCTACTCCACTCCTACCTGCAAAATGCTGGTGTTAAAAGGATGAAAGAATTGAGATGTGTGAACGACTCAGAGGACTGGGAAATCCTTACCAACTTTGTTCATTCCAATGAGGGAACTTCAGTGGGTTGACAACGTTCTCACACGTGGGCCTAGATGTTAAAACCCATCCCTTGACCACTTTCCCGGAGATCTGGAGGGCTTCTATACTTAGTGCTGTTTAGGAAAATCCCCTCTTCCTCGCTTTTTGACATAATCCAGGTGAAGAGGTCTGGATTGAAAAATAGTAGGTTATAAACAGACCATTCAGTTGAGGGGCTTTGTCTGGCCCTGAGGCCCTTCCAAATCCTCCCTTCCCTATGTGCTCCCCACCCCCAGAAAGGGGAGAGGGACTGTGGCCACAGCAGGCCGCCTCCCCAGTCTAAACTGGGCTGTTCCTTCTCACTGAACATGCCAACATTCCCACTGCTCCATCTCTGACCCGGCCCTTCTTTCCCCTCCTCTGCACAATCAGAACCTCGCCCACATCTCCCCTCCTCCAGGAAGCCTTTCCTGACTTCGTGGCCAGCTAGGATCATTTCTAGCAAAAATTGCCCCATTGGCCCCACAATTTCCTTTTCTGGGTGTAGTTAAAACCCAGTGAGGACACCAATCACCTCCTTGTGGTCATAGAGTATGGTCCTCAGTGTTCTGAAATGATAATAATAAGAAAGCAGATACATGCAGAGGTGATAAGGTTAGAGTAGGAGGAAGGCAGACTCGCTTCCTCCCCCTCAAGTAACTGACAGACATTTATTGAGCATCTGTTTGGGGGCAGAGTTTCGAGAGAGAGCTGGAATGAGCCCTGTAAAATGAATCCATACCCTGCTTAGTTCACCAACCTGGAGGCTCCCCAAACCCCATGGTTTAGGGTTTTTATGACGACTTCATCTCTTAGCGTGGGCATGACTGATTAAATCATTGGCCACTGGTGATTGAACTCAATCTCCAGTCCCTCTCCCCTGCCTGGGGGTGAAGGGAGAATGGGGAGAGGGAAGTGAGGGGGTTGGGGTTGGAGCTGAAAGTTCCAACCCTCTAATCACAGGGGTGTTTCCTCCAGTAACCAGCCTCATCCCGGAACAGTCACCTCATTAGCATAAACTCAAGTGTGGTGAAAGAGGCTTATTACGAACCACTAAAGAAGCTCCCCGCACCCCAATCACTCAGGAAATTACAAGGGTTTTAGAAGCTGTGTGCCATGAACCAGGAACAAAGGCCACATACATATTTCTTATTATATCGCAACGTCACAGTCTATACCACATTTTGTATATCGATTTATCTGCTGGTGGACAGTTGCGTTGTTTCCACTAGTTTACTATTGGTGTACGAATTTTCTTTTGAGTACCTGCTTTCAATTCTTTGGGGTATATACCAAGGAGTGGAATTGCTGGGTCATGCGGTAATTCAGTGTTTGACCTATAGGCCCCCCCAGGCTGATGTGTCCCTGAAGGATGTGTTAGGGGGGCTTGCTTCCCCCCGGCAACTTTAACGAACCTATGAGGCCATTCCCATCCCCACAGCTCTGAGGCCATCTCAGAAGCCCTGTGAAAGATGCTCTGTTTGTGCATCTCTGGCCAGCCTCGTGGGCAGGTCCAGGAAGCCTTCACCTCCTTCTCCTCCCTGCGTGTGAGTGCGGCCCAGCGCTCCTCCTAGGGGAGTCATTCAGCCCCAAGATAGAGCTCAGCCTCCCAGGCTGAGCTCCTAGTCCCCACCACTGTCTGACTTAAAGCTTTCATAGCAGAGGATTAGTCAGACAAACCCCAGACTGTGGTCCTGCTCTGCCTCTCATGGACCTGCAGCAGCCTCTGTGGGCTACAGAGGTTTTCACCAGACCCTGACCCTTATGACAGAATGGTTCCTCTGAGACACCCCTTCAGTACAGGGAGTATGGGCAGTGTGTCAGCCTGTGTTACCTCGTGTCTATATATGTGTCTTCTCTCAGAGTAAAACGTGATTTAATCGTGAGTGGAAGTGGAAATCTTAAGCTCTAATTGGAGTTTGGGATTTTCAAAAATAGAAAGAGATAAGGAAGAGGCTGGGCTTGAGCCGTCAGAAGCTATCCTCAGCTGGTGTTTTCCACATGGAAAATCTCCATTTCCCTTCTCTTCAATTACGTAATGCTACTTGAAACAAGAACCAAGATGGTTTTTATTCTTTTAACAGGGGCTTCTCTTTTTCCCCTCCTTATCTACATATTTCTTCAGTAGGCAAAAAGATTTTAAGAAATTTCAATCGCTATAGCATTTGGTAAATTGATGGAAATCATGGCTTACATATGCTTCAAAGCCCTCTCACATGCTTTATTTCTTCCAAAAGCCTTGTTAGGAAGGCAGAACAGTTTTGCAAATAATAATTTGTCTTCACTTTACAGGTGAAGAAACAGAATTCCTCAGTGTGTGCTGATTTGCTTAAGGTCGCATGTGTTCTGGATGGCAGAACCAGAACTGAACCCAGGTCCCCTGTCACAACATCTCCTCCTGAAGGACCCCCTCCTTCTTCCCCACGCCTCCCTCCAGGCTAGCTTAGAGACCCCAGTGTCATCCTCTACTGCCTGTCTACCTCCTTCCCTAGACTATGAGGTCTTATTCATCTTTGTACCCCCATAATTCCTAAACCAGTGTAGGTGCTCAGGAATGCTGGTTGAGGAAATGAGGGAGTCTCTAGGAGTTTTCTGATTGCCCATTCACAATGTGGTTTTAATTCCATGGATGGGTAGAGAAAGGAGAGGTATGACTGCAGGGGTGATTGACAGCCTTTGGCTCCCACTGGAGAGGCGGTGCTAGGGCTTGGATTTGTGTGGGGGAGAGGAGAAGAGGGGCTGTAGTCCTGGATCTACCAGGGATTCCACTAGCTGCCTGCTGGAGCCTCCCTGTGGACCTACCCTGAAAGATACATCCTCCTGGGGCACACAGGTGGGGACCTGTGACGGGTCTGGGTATCTTTATGGCAAGTCCCTGTATCCCTAAGGATACAGGAGGAGAGGCCATCTTTCTCAGCTGTAATTGACCCACCTGCTTTGCTGCCAGCCATTGACACCATGTCCTCAGAGGGAGTTAGTAGATGCCCTCTCTTTGCCAACGCCCATTGAACACCTGCTGCCCACCAGGCTCTGGACTGGGGCTGAGGGATATGAAAGTGGAGCTGATACTGACCCCCCAGGGTCACTCAGAGAGGTCTGTGTCCTGGCTTCAAGGGTCATTTATAAAGTCTCCTGCAGTCCCTTTTCAAGGTCATGGCTCCACACGGTACTTAGCCCCAAACATTGCTCACTACCTGCCTGGTCTCCATGACTCCAAGCAGACACCACAACCAAGCTGTGACAGGAATAATAGGACAGAAACCCTCAGAACTTATAGGGAGGGTACACCAGAGCCTGTTCCCCATGGTCTCCATGCCCTTCCAGAGGTTAAGTTGAGTTGGAAGCACATGGCCCAAGGCCCTCACCGTAAATCACATTGTTAGCACAGACTCTCTGGTGTAGCCCAGGAGCCCCAGGTTAACAGAGACTCTCCTAAAGACAGCACATTCCAAGGGTTTAGAAGTTACCTCCCAGAAGCTGGGCAAGGACCAAATATATCCTTGGGCAAAGTTAATCCTTTACTGCACGAAGGTCTACATAAGGACTTAGTCAAGCAGCAGAGGCCCAAAAACTCAGCAGGCAAAGGCAAAATGAGGACTTTGTCAGACCCACAAAAGAAGGTCAGTCTCTGGACTTCTGAGAACATTTCAGAAGTCAAGTCAGAAGAATGTCTTTGGAGGTGTGTCCATGGGTAGGTATTGGTGTGGATGACTGTGTGTGTGCGTGCAGTGTGAATACACACACAGACACATGGTGACAGTGGCGCAAGAGGAGCCCCAGTGAACTGTGGCAGCTGGGCACGGGCTGTGTTGACCGTGAAGGAAGCATCTGTGCACATCCCAGAGGTGGAAGCAATGCATTGAAAATGAGCATTTCTCTCCACGTGGTCCAGTTGGCTTCCGAGGCACCTTGTCACTGTCAGGATGAGTCACCCGTGGAGCCTGAGGACCAAATTAAGTCTGTGAACGTAAAAGCAGGCACTCTGTGAATCTGAACTTAAAATAAGAAGACAGCCTCATTTGGGAGAGAGACTGAACCAGGAAATTAAATGGCTGTAAGGGGAGATGGGGGTTCCTGCCTGTGCCGTCCAGGGGTGGTAGGTGCAGAGGGTTGGAAAAGTGGTCCTGCCTGGTTCGCCTAGACCAGCTGGCTCTCCCAGGCTGCTTGAATTAGGTATCCAGTCTCCATGTTCCCAGCCCATTTATACTGCCCACAGGGGCGCAGTTTCCCCTCCTGCATGCCAGGTACAGGGGTGTTCACCCGGATTTAGGGAACATTTTAAAAATATATGCAATGCCTTGATGGCCCCCAAGAACTGGTGAATTTGTCTTTCAGATTTTGAAAATATTCCCTGGACTTTGATGCCTATAGACAGGGTGACCTGGAGGAAATAGCCAGCGATGAGGCTGGAAGGTGAGATCCAGGCCTGTTTTTGATGGTCTTGGATGCCAGGCTAAGGAGTTTGAAACTTATCTTCCAGGCAATTCAAGTTTTTAGCTGTTGGGCTGCAGAGTAAGATTTGTGCCTCAGAAAGACAACTTTGTCAGCCACCTGTAGAAGGAAAGGGAAAAGGTAAGGTGAGGTGAGAGGGGCTAGGGGTCCGTTGCAGTACTCCAGGTGTGAGGGGGAAAGGAGGGCAGGATTCATTCAGAAGAGCAGTTTCAGAGTTGAACCGGTAGGATTGATCTGGGTGATGGGCAGAGGTGAAGCTTCTTAATTTAGTGCTGGGGATGAAAGGGGATATGCGATGGTTCTGCTAACAGAAATAGGGGACTCAGGGAAAGGAGCACATTTAGGGAGAAGATGATGAAGCCACCACTGAAAGTCTGGGTGAAATCCACATGGAGGTGGCCAATCGCATCCTGGATCTGAGTCTGGCAGGGAGGAGGGAGGGCAGGGCTGGAGGCACCGATTTGTGAATATCACAGGTGACCCCTGAAGTGAGGAATTTCCGGAGACGCTCTTCATCAACTTGTCTATGAACCACAGGCGTAGAATGAAAGTATTTGGAAATTCCAAGAGGTCTCTACTGTGGGGATGTGGCTTTGCTCCTTGAGACTGCAGGCTTGAGGTCACCTTTCCGCTGACTGTCCTGAGAGCCCACTGATGGTGAAGGACATCTAGAGCCCCCTTCTTCTTGATTTCACCTTTCCAGGTACAGCGCTCTCAGCCAGCCTCCGCCGTGCTTCCACCATGCTTAGATGCCGCTGAGGCTGACAAGGCCCCCAGGGGTCAGAGAAAGGCTCCTAGCATTTTAGGCATCGGAACTAGAGAGGTCACAGCATCCAATGCCCCATTTTATAGATGAGAAAATTGAGATCCAGAGATGAACATGCTTAGCCAAGGCCACAAAACCAGTCTCTGGCACTAGGAGGGCGAGGCCCAGCCAAGCCCCCTGATTCCCGGCCTGGCTCCTGGACACCGCACACTGAGCACGGGGTCTGCTGTTTTACAGGATTACACGCGCGTGGTGTGCCCTGTGATTGACATCATCAACCTGGACTCCTTCAACTACATTGAGTCGGCCACAGAGCTCAGAGGGGGTGAGTGGGGCTAACTCCTCCTCCCCGGTAAGGACTTACTTTTTCTCCTTGTCATTGCTTTCAAGGCAGAAAGTGAGGAAAAGTCTCTTAGTGGTTTGTCTGGAACGCATCCTGTAATGTCAGTAGCTCCAGTGTGGCCCTTATCCCTGAGACTGTGAATGGAAGGGCCCAGAGAGTGGGCGGGACCTTCCCAGCCCCCACAGCTCTGGCTCCAACACAGAGCTCACTCCAGGACCTGAATGTGAGGGAAGCAAGGACACCTGGCTCTTTGGGGCCTGAATTATCCTGGCCCCTCAGCATTGGGCACCACCCTCTCCTCGAGGCACACCACAGCTCTCTGCCCAGGCCTGGTGCTGTCCCCACCCCAAGACCAATGTGAGGTGATTCAGCCCCTCACAAACCACCTGCCTTCACCTTCCCGTGGCTCCTGGCCAAGGGACAGATCCTGTAACTGTTTATAATGCCCCCCTTGGGCCCTACCCTTGGGCTGTGTCTGATCTCACTCCTTATCCTGTGCCCTATATTCTCTAACTCACCCAGGAGAGAAGGCCCAGAGAGGCAGTAGGAGATGGGGAAAGAGAAGGAAGCTGTGAAAGGGGAAGTCTGCAGGCCTGTTGCCCATCAGCCTAGTGAGGCCCCTTATCCCTGGACCAGCTTCCCTGGGAAACCGGGTGCATTCATGAACTTCTAGCTAAGGGACAGGATGAGCAAGCTCTGCAGGTACATCTGAGAGACCAAGTCAACTGAGTGCTACTGTGTTCCAGGGTTTGACTGGAGCCTCCACTTTCAATGGGAGCAGCTCTCCCCAGAGCAGAAGGCTCGGCGCCTGGACCCTGCTGAGCCCATTAGGTAACTAAGAGCAAGGATGGGGTGGGCACATTCGTCACCACTTGGTCCTTCCCACTGTCACGTGGTATAGGGAGGCATCCCACATTAGATGCTCAGAAGACTGGGCAAAGGTCAAGAGGATCATTTGCCAGGCCAGCTCTACTTTTGCCCTTATTTTAGGAGGTTTCTCTCTTCATGGAGACTTCTGCTAAGGGGATGGGAGCCTGGTGGAGATCAGGGCATCTCCCAGTGTCGTCCACCCGACACATACCATGATGTACTTATGCTTCCTGCTAAACATTGGAGGGTCTCAGATGGTCCTCTGACAAGGGAAAATATGGTCCCTTAGGGCCAGGAGCAGAGCCCCCGGGTCTTGGATGTTAGGATTCAGCCCAGGAAGGTCGAATCAGCCATTGCTGTAAGTGGAGGCTGCTATCAAGGCGTGGCCACTGCTACTTGTTCACAAACAAGTCTGCTCTATTCTGTGCAACAACATGATGGTGGCATCAACTCTGGGCTGCTTTTGCAGTGCTGTAGGTGACTTTGTCCTGACTGCATTCTCTCATCCAGTCCCCATTGTGGCTCACAGCACGTGGTGGAAAGATGGCACCTGGGGTTTGGGGCCTATCTGAGGGCTCAGCGTAGAATGGAGCATCGGGGTCCACTCAGTGGTTGAGCCTGTGGTCTCAGCATCAAAAATGTGTGTCCTTGATGCTCCTACCTAAGACTGGATGGTAAACATGTCCCAGACTTGTTGGGAATCTCCAAGCTCAATCATATCTGCCTCAGGTGGGGTGTCAGGAGGATAGGAAGTGCTTGAAGAAGTACAGAGAGGACCACTGGACTGGGATTTCTCTGGCCAGTAACTTAGGGATGAGCAGGACACTTCAAGGGCATCTCTGTATCTCTGGGGCCTGCCACATAGTAAATGTTTGATCATTTTCACTGAAATGACTTAAGTCAAATTGAGAACCAAAGGGCTATGAAGAGCTGAATGGTGATGCTCCAGAGACAGGTGTGGGGATTAGGACATCTCTACCACAGGACCTCTGTCTCATCTACCTGCTGGCCCCTCCGCCCTCCTCCAGCATTCATGATCTAGAATGATGCCAAGAGGGAGGCTGGAGCCAGATGGCACTCTCAATAATGCCGTTTATTTCTAAGGGGAGAGTAGAACCTTCTTATCATCCTGAGCATCATGCAGGGCACATCAGCTCCTCGGTTACGCACCGGTGGCAGCGCCTGATGTGGGTATGGTGTGGGAAGAGCGTCTACCTGTGTAGACACCTCAAAGCAGTACACCAAGTTGAGGACAAAGGCGGTGGTAGTGCAGCTGCTTCTGGGTTTTTCCCTTCTCTGTCCCAGTGGTGGAGTTCTCAGGGCAGGTTCTCTTCTTGTGAGAATATCTGCTCATCAGAGAACAAGTGTTTCCCAAGATATAGGCCAGTTCTCAGGAAACAGCAGGGTGTCGTGGCATTGAGAGACCTGGGCTTCTGACCTGCTCCCCATCAACTAACTGTTTGACATAGGGGAAAACTCCCTTCACCTTCTGGACCCCTGAATGAGGAGCCAGGGCCCTGAGGGGTCGTCCACCTATGCCAGCTGTTGATTCTTAGAGACACACGTCCCTATAGTTACCGAGTTATTTGGTTGGACTCTGGTACCGTTGCCTGCCTTCCACTGTAACCCCTTTTCTTTCCAAGTGGCTTCTCTCAGCAGTTGAAGGTGAGGGAGGTTGGGTGGGACCCCAAAAAAGGAAAATGAAGATGAGGGTATATTGGTTTGCTAGGACTGCTGTAACAAAGTACCACAGACTGAGTGGCTTAAACAACAGAAATGTATTGTTTCAAGTTCTGGAGGCTGGGAGTCCAAAATCAAGGTATCGGCAGAGTTGGTTCCTTCTGAGGGTTGTGCCAGACCTCTCTCCTTGGTTTGCAAATGGCCATCTTCTCTCTGTATCTCTTCGCATTGTCTTCTTTCTATGCGTGTCTGTCTCTGTGGCTAAATGTCCTCCTTTTATAAGAACACTAGTCATATTGGATTGGGGTCTACCCTAATGACCTCATTTTAACTTGATTACCTCTGTAAAGACCCTCTCTCCAAATAAGGTCACATTGTGAGGTACTGGGGGATAAGACCCCAACATATTTTTTAGAGGGATAAAACTAAACCCATAACAGTGGGAAAGAGGGGAAAAAAGGGAGAGAGAGCCCAGTTTCAAGAAATAGATGTGCTGTTAACAGGTGCTGCCTCAGCCCTTCTCTGTCTGCTCAGTGCCCACTGTCCCCACTCCCAAGAGTGGAGCTTTCAAGAGAGCCGTGCTGGGCAGGGCCTGTGGGAGAGGCCAGTGGAGGCTCCCCAGGCCCTCAGGACAGCCGGGGTTCTGAGAGAGTCCTGGCCCCCCACAGGAGGTGTGCTGATGAGCGAATCAGCCTCTCTGCAAGGTAAATGGAAAGTGGAAAATGTATTGGCCTTTCTGAAGAGGAGCAGAAATGGGAAGAAAATGGCCTTGAGCTCTGGACTGCCAGGGCGGAAGAACGTGAGAGTGGTCCCCCTCCCATAACTGAACCTCTTTTCCTTCCCAATGCACAGGACTCCAATCATAGCTGGAGGGCTCTTCGTGATGAACAAATCCTGGTTCGATTACCTGGGGAAATATGATATGGACATGGACATCTGGGGCGGGGAGAACTTCGGTGAGTTACTGTGTCCGCGTCCTGGGGCTGGGGTGGGGATCTCTGTGTCCTTGGACCACATGTGCCTGGGTTGCGGGCCAGGGAGATGAGGAGTAAGTCACTCCTCTGGGGGAAGGCTGGGTGGGGCACCAGAGGAGTGTTTGCTGGGAGGGCAGAGGTGACAAGGGATTTCTCCATGGACCACATAGATGCTGAGGACCAGGGAAGTGTGCTCAGGCAGACCGTTAGGGGACAATTGAGATGCAGAAGCCAGGAAGACCAAGGAGGAACACCAAGTCTGAGGGCCAGAGGTAGGCTTGAGCTAGGAGCACTGAACTTGGAAATTTGGAGGTGGAAAGAGACTGACGATAAGGAGATTGAGGAGCAGGATTGACGGAGACACCGTAACACTTGGAGAACATCTGTTGGCTGCTTTATGCGCATAGCACTCAGTGCTGGGTTAATGAGGAGGGTCTAGGGCGACTGCTACAGAGACCCTGGGGGTGTCTTGCCCTGTCTTTTAGTGCAGAGAAAGGGGTGGGGGTGGAGAGGCTGGGTTACAGGTTCCAAAACTGTGCAAACAGATGCCCAGATCTGGCCACAGTGGTGCAGGGCTGCGGTTTACAGCTGCCGGAGAAAGAGCAGTCAGAGACTCAGCCCATGGAGCTGATGACGCTGAGTGACCCTCCAATTTCCTCGGGTATTAAAGTGTAATGCAGGGGTGCTTCTTGGGATTGTTGTGAAAACTCATTGAGGCAAGTTTGTAAAAATCCTGGCACCATACGGACACAATAAATGTTAGTTTCCTTTCCTTCCTTCCAGCAGGTAAGACCTAAGTGATGATTAAAATTTAAGCGGCACAAGGGCGGGGATTTGGGTCCATTCTGTTCATAGCTATCTCTCCGGTGCTTAGTGTAGTGCCTGCCACAAAGAAGGCTTCAGTAACTATTCCTTGAATAAACCACAAGAGAGGAAGAGGAAGAGTCCTGGAGTGTCGAGGCCCCTTGCCCTCTCTGGGCACTGGGGAGTACGTTTGGCACAGGCTTCCGGAGCAGTGGCGCAGGCCAGGAGAATGATCCATGGGGCTCGTCCTGGCATTTAGCAGTAATCCCATGCATTGTCCTCTGCCATTGTTTTCTCCTGTCCCTGCCTCCAGAGTGTTATATGGCTTTCTTCCTCAGTCACTAAGAGTTATTTCCCGGAAATTTATGGCTGCTGGCCTGACCCACAGCATCTGTTCTCCCAAACTGGGCAGCATAGAGGAATCCATCAGAAAAGTCTGTCTCCTGCCATATGGGGGCAGACTGGAAGCTCAGCAAACAAAGCGGAAAACCCCCAAATCCATAAACCAAACTGAGTGCCCTTCCAGGAACCCAATCCTGGAACGCGATGGGGGTCTTTGGTGTGGGTTTGAGGTCGGATCTGCCTGCACCAGCCGGGGAGAACCTGGAGCCGGGTAGACCCTTGGCCTTCTCAATGGGGTCGAGATTTCTCTCTTTGTGGGCAGAGCCAGTGGATGTCCTGATGGCCACAGTACCTCTCAGGATCCTTAGTGATGTGCTCCAGACTTTCCTCCCGGCCACCAAGTGAATCCTTTCTGCAGCGCTTTTGATAGACAGCAGCCATCCAATCCCTGCTCAAATGCTTCTCACGATGATGCGTTCGCTGCTTACAGTTCGGCACATTCTGTCATTAAGAATTTTGCTGTTGAGTTGTTAGAAAATTCTTCTAAGTCGAAGCTCATCTCCCTCCAGCTTCTGTCTGTCAGGACATGTTCTGCCCTCTTGAACCTCACAAAGTGGGTGTGATCCATCCACATGGCAGACACATTTAGATTCAGGCAGCACGTTATTTTTAATGATGGCACATTTGGGTCCAACCTACCAGGACCTTCTCTTTATACAAATGTTGACACACATCTGCTTAAATCAAGTGGCCATCTCATCTAGTTGGCTTAGGGAAGTAGGCAGGGTCTTCTGGGGAGGTGTGGGAGAGACATTTTACAATCCATCACAAAATTTTTAAACCACAAAAAAAGCACTTTAGACAGATCACGGGAAACACTCTGTTTTCTCCCATCCCAACGTTCCATTATGTTAGGGCCAGCTCCCAGGACTTTGAAAGCCATTTCTGGATTTTTTTCTTAGCATTTTGTATGCCAGAAAACTCAATGCTTTTTCAGCAGTGGATATATCGTGTGGACAGCTTCAGTTCCACAGGTGAGGATAGCGAGGCATCTGAGTATGTGAAGGTGGGAATTTGGAAGAGTCCATGCAGGATGGGGTGATGATCGGGGGCTTGATGGGGTTGGAGAGTGACGCTTCAGCTGCAAAGGAGAGGTGGTGCTGAGGGGTGAAGGCAGCTGCGCGTCTGAGTGAAGAATTCCTGCTCCAGGGTGTAGCAAGAGGGGCCTCCCCATGCCCCAGCTCACCAAGTCCTCTCCTCAGCATCACTCACATCCATCCCTCTCTCTCCATCCCCAGGACTCTCCTAAAAGGTCCTCCGCCTCTATTCTGCTCCCCTCAAGCCCTCCTCCCACATGCGTGCCAAAGCGCCCTCTCTGAAATGTGGGTCTCTCCTGCCCTCCCAGGCCTGGCAGCCACCAGTGACTGCTTCTTGTCCTCAGGACGAGGCCCACACTCCTCAGCTGGGTCCCTCCTTGGCCTTGCCCGCCTCTCCAGCCTTCAGTCCAGAGGCACTGACAGAACCTCCTGCACTGCCCAGATGTGCTGACCCTCCACGATGACCTGGCCTCCATTCTCCGCCAAGCGCTGAGTCTGCTGCAGAGCACAGCTCTGGGGCCGCCTCTGCCAGGACTAGGATGCCTTCCCTGCCCACCCTCCGCCCACCCCTCCCTCGCTCTGTGCCCCTCAGCAGCCGGCTCTCCTCTCCGCCCTGGCATGGAGCCCTCTCAGGCATCTGTGTTTATTCATCTGCGCCTGCCGCCCTCCACCTACTAAACCTGGAGCAGGGCAAGAACATTCGCCCGACTTCCGGACCTCAAGGCCTGGAACAGTGGAAACTGCTCCTAGCTGTGTGTTCAAAAGCCAGAAACTGCCTGCGCAGGGGAGTCAGGGTGGGAAGGGGAACATATATCCAACCTATGAGGATCCCCTTAAAAGAGGGCTCATTGCATTAAATGGAGCCCATGGAGAAAAGTAACAACAGCAGGTAGAGTTGTCTCCTTTCCAAGAAATGGGATCTGTGTGTTCCAGACGTGTTTGCCTATGTTGCGCTGACTATTTCACAGCACAAAAAACCATGAGATTATTGGAAAAGTCTCTGGCCAGAGCCACCGTGACCATGACCACGCTCAGTGGCCCGCTGCCCCTGCCCGCCCGTCTCGCTTTCAGGTGTTGGAAGCAGCCTCAGCGGCCCCGTGAAAGCCCACCCCACACGCCCTCACACAGCCTGACCCTAGTGCCATTGTTCCCGCAAAGTGTGTCTGAGATGAGCTGACTAGTTTTGATAATTACATCTGCAGTTCAGCTTAGGAGCAAGCTTTAGGGAAATGTGACTTTTAGCCTTCCTTTTTTTGGGAAATTGTTTTGCATTAAAATTGGATCCTTAAACCCTAATTTGCATAACACAGGATACATGTAATACATCTAATACATCTACTCACTTGAACCGCATCTCACTTTTAGCTTTGGGTCTTTGGAGATAAAAGGAGGCTGTTGCCTAATAAGCAGTGTGTGTGTGTGTGTGTGTGTGTGTGTGTGTGTGTGTGTGTGTGTGTGTAGGTGGTGGGGGTAGGGGTTGCACATTTCCAAAAAAGGAGGCATTGGCACATATATGAAGGGAGAGTATGGGATTCCTGGATTCAGAATGGGGGATTTCCAAAGCATAGCAGATAGAAAAGATGGTGCTGAGAAAAGGGAGATGAGGTGAGGCCCGGAGAGGAGCCACCATCACCACCCCTCATCCCCAGAATGTAGTCAGGGACATCAGGCTGTGTCAGGCTTGGAGAGCGTGTGTGTGAACAGAGACTGTGGAATGAGACAGGCCTAAATTTGAATCCTGTAGTCATCACTGGAAAGCTACTTCACCTTACTGAGCCTGTTTCTAAGTCTTTAAAGTGGAGACAGTGCTCTCTGTGGTAGGGAGAATGGCCTCCCCCAAAAGATATCCATGCCCTAATCCCTGTGTTAAAGAAAAACTTATTCCGACACTTGTAAAAATGGTAAGGAAGACTTTTCAAGACTGTCACAATAAGTGTGAAGACTCTCGCCGTAGGGGAGGGAGATGGGGCTCGACTCTGATTACAACAAGAGCAAGTGGGGATTTCGAGCCAAGGAACAGGTGGGGGTGGGGGGGGGCGGTGGATGGAAGATCACTAAGAGGGAACATCAAAGGTGGGGGATTCTTGCTAAACTGACCTAAGGATTCCTGCCAGGGTAATCAGATACCAAGGGTGGGGGATTCTTTCCAAACTGGCTTAGCAGGCTTCTTGCTAAAACTGGGCCATGTAGGCCCTGCAAGCACAGGGGCCAAGGTTGAGGCCTGGTTGAGAAGAGGGCTTACAGGGGCCTTGACTACAGTTGGGTCAAGGAGAGCACCTTGTCACCTAGAACCTGTCAGGATGCTACCTTACATGGCAAAAGGGACTTTGCAGACGTGAGTAAGGCTACTAAATCAGTGCCCTGAAGGTGGGAGATTATCCTATATTATCCACGTGGGCCCATCTAATTGCATGAGCCCTTAAAAGCAGAGAACTTTCTCCAGATGGAGGCAGAAGAGATGGAGCAGAAGAAGTCGGAGAGATTCCTAGCATGAGAGGGACTGGACTGGCTGCTGCTGGTTTGAAGGTGGAGGGGGCAGCGTGGAAGCCACTGAGAGAGGCTCCTGGCCTACAGCTAGCAAGGAAAAGGGAACCTCGGCCCCACACCCGTGAGGAGCCCAGTTCTGCAAACAACCTGAGTGAGCTTGGAAGCAGAATCTTCTTGAGAGCCCCCGAAAGAAACACAATCCTGCGGACACCTTGATTTTGGCCTTGTGAGACCCTGAGCAGACTCGGTCTG